AAGGTTTTGGAGGAACCATTTTGTCAAGAAATTCAGTTACGTATTCCAAAGGTTAGGACAATCAAAGAACCACTAGATGTTTACACTATTCAAATCGCCTCTTGACCCCTTCCAAATTACCCCTTCTGATTCAGGAAAAGGGCAGGAGAGTGCCAATCTATATTCAAGCAAAAGTGAGAGCAGAAATCAAGAAACTTATAGAGGAAGACCAAATTGTAAAGTAGACATATGCCAAAGTGATCAATCCGTAGCTCCGCTAGTGATCACAGCAAAAAAGGATGGCACAGTTAGCAATGGATAAGAAACCGATGAGTTCACAAAACTTCAAAAAAAAATTTCAAATACCAAAATTATTAGAACTCCTAGAATCTTCAGCTGAAATTATCACGTCAAAATCAGAAGGCACACTTTGGTTCGCGTCTTTAGATCTGAAATATGCTTTTAGTCAGCTTCCATTAGATGAAACCGCCAAAAAAAACAGCAACTACAGCATAGTAAATGGGAATTTACTAAAATATACAGATTTAAAACCGAATTTCATTAATTAACAGACATGCCGAAGGAATTTCAGAAGGCCATGAACAACATATTTTTAGAAAAACCAGTAGTGTTCTGTTCCTTAGATGATATATTAATAGTATCGAAAGGATCAATTATCAGCTATAACAAAAAAGTCGATGAAGTTCTATCAAAATCAGACAAGGAAGGGTTTGCGTTAAAATTGAGTCACTGTGAATTCTCAAAAACCAACATGACATGGCTGGGATTCGCAATCGACATTACAGAAATGAGACCAAAACACTCAAGGATAGAAAGAATGATGACACTACAACCATCAAAATCTCGAAAAAAAACTTAGATCTTTTTGAATCATTTGTGCAGATTTTCTTCTAATCTACAAAAATCTACACTGAGCCGTTGCATCAATCGTTAAAAGCAGAAAACATAACTAAAAAGTACCATTACGATGCATCGAAACGATGCAGGATTAAATGTGACGCAAGTCACAAGGGATTGGGAGCAGCGTTGGAGCAAGAGTTAGAACCACACAAATGGTTACCAATTGCCTTCACTTCAAAATTTTTGAACACAGCGGAGCAAAATTATAGCACAAACGAGCCGGAATTGATTTCAAATTCTGACCGACCAAAAAGCTATAGTTACAGCTTTGACAGATAATTGTGGAAACAAGACCTACCAGTACAGATTGACCAGATGGGCAATCAGAAGGCTGCCATATAAATATTCAAACTCTCACATTGTAGGCGCTGAAAAAAGAATGGCTGATTACTTGACGAGAACTTTTATATTCGAGGCTTCACTCACTTCAAAAACTATGAGCAATTCATAGTCAAGGCCATTGAGAATTTCAATGAAGCTTGTAGGATGATCAATACGCCAGCAAACATTCTTTCAGATAGTTCATATTAATTCATGCCCATCACGAGACAACCAATCTATATCAGAAGCATTTTGTTTTGACGAAAATCTAAGCAAAAGACTACAATCAGCTACCCCATGGTCGGAAGAGAGCGACAATATTTTGTAAAAAGATTTTATCCAATCAAATCATTGGGATAAAACCACCATTTAAGAAGCATAATTCGATAAAGGCGGCACAAAACTCGTCCAATCACAACCGAATATGTAAATGTACATACATCCGCAAGAGGGCTCTATATCAAGCGATTTTTATGTTAGCCAATAAGAATGAGTCATGCAAATCCACATCCCTCATATTCATATTGTAATTCTATGCGGCAACTATTTCAACCAATCAAACAGTTTATGTAAACTTGCAACTCACAGCAATTGGGCGAAACTACCGTCAATTAGGACAACTAAGGAAGCTTATTCTAGCAAAGAGTAGAGAGGAGTTCCTACGAATGGGCAGCTACATGACCAACTTCCGGGATAGTGCATCAGTGAACAACGACTGTATCATCATCGACAGCCGGGTGGCGCTTCCCACTTGTCTGAGGAAGGCCGTCATGGCTCGACTGCGCAGAACACACCCAGGCGAGGAAGTCATGATGGATGCTGCAAAGTATCTCTGGTGGCCGAAGATGCACAGAAAATATATAGATGAATGCCAATCTTGCAGATCATGCTCCGCGTTTAGTAAGAACCTTAGAAAATTCAAATCATTTAACTCTTCAAACTCTCTTCCAGATCTATCTGGACCAAACAAAGAGCTTCAAACTGACTTCGCAGGGCCCATGTTTGATTCAAAAGGGGAAATTTTTCTATTCTAGTTAAAATTGACTGGTTTTCGAAGTATCCATCTGCTATGATTACTAGAAATTCTGGGAGCAAGAAAAACTCAATTTTTTGAAATACTCTATCAATCAACATAGCATACCAAAGAAATTAAGAACAGATCAGTATTTTGGATTCAAAACGCTAAGGGGATAAACCAAATATTTTGCCCAGCCGGCAATCACCGCGGTTGCGATTCGGTGGGAAAGTGTATTGTGACTCTGAAAGGGAAGTTAGGCAATTGGATCGAAACTTCGATGATATCCAGTCAGCTGTCAAATCGATTTGGAAGCTATTTGTATAACAAGTCACCAAGTCACACTATTCTATAGAAGAGTTCATTTGAACTTCACTATGGCAGATAGCCAAATACAGAAGTGCCTAATTTTTAGGATAAACCAATCAATTAATTAATTTCTGATCAAAAAAAGCTTAAGAGATCCAGGCTGTAGCCAGAAGAAATGTGAGAGGAGCAGACTCAAGAACCAGACTGAAGGTTTTCAAGAAAGTAGTGATGAGTAAAGACGTTGTACCGAAAGTTACGAGGCCAGCGGAAGAGCCAGATAGCAACAGGGCCCTAGAGAATCTAGAAAAGGCGGCAAAAGATTGGAAACTACACAAGAGGCATCTCACACATCATTAGGGATCAGAGAGGCTGAGGAAATTGAAAGGTAGGTGTTACTTTCTCGCAGCAAGTTTTAGAAGTGATCTCAATCAAAAGACACTGAGATTCAGAATGGATCAGGAGTTGTCAGTCCAGAGCCAAAACAAGTAACCTTGAATTTGATCAACTGCATCATCCGGACAAAATGGTTTTTTATCGGAAGATTTTGGATATGATATCGGGCCGCCCATCAATCAAAATCTATTAGAAAATAGTCAAAACTACTAACAACACCTACATCACAGACGAAGGTAAAGTAATTAGGAAGAAACATATATCGCTTAAACCGAAATTCAAATCAGTACTTTGATCAAATTCAGGTTCAAAGACACCAGCCGCTTGCCCGCCGAGGAAGTCTCTACATCAGTGCAGTTCTAGCAAACCGAGCCGACCACCTGTACTCATTCTCCTATATCTTCGTCGACAGAAGGTTCAGATTCAGAGAATAGGGAGGTACCCGTTGCAAAACTAGACAAACTGCAACAAAAGACAATGAGGCTATCTACCTCACTGACGAAGATATCCAAACGGAAGCCACCAAGTTCAGCAGCCAGATATACAGCCTCGCCAAATGTTCTACAAAACATCCCAAATGGCGTCATCACAGGCTTAACTTTGTCTTCGAGTAGCTCCCCAGAACAAGAAGTTCAGGCGGTACCAAGAGTGAATGAGCCAGAAAACCAGACGACAAATTTGTGCCCAATAACATTAGAGCTGATTGTAGCAAAGAATGTCCAATGGACAAGCCAGAATCGGTACCCATTATGAAGAAAGAGCAAGGTACGAGTCAAAGCATTGAAGAGAGCTGCCCGATACCGTCTGTTCCGGTAGTAGAAAAGACGAAGACTTCACTGGATAAAGAAGGGGAGACAAAAGCAACAGGCTCGGGAAACATTTCAGTAGATGGGGGGAAAACTGGAGAAATCAAAACTTCAGACAAAATGGAAACTCAGGCCACCTCTGCACTACTTAGACAAGAAAAGAGACAACTAGACAAAAAGAGCAGACACGGAGACAAAGACTCAGAAGTATCAAATAGTTCAAACAGGTCATGGAGAAGAAGTAAGCGAAAACAGAGTTTTTCGGAAGACCGCTGAAGCATTCAGTTAAGAGTTTGAAGGGAAATCAGGCGAATAGAAGCTTCAGTCGATTCCACGATCGACGGAGGATATTACGCCTTCCTCAGGGAACACGCCGTCATTGTCGCCAAGGAGTAAGTTGAAAACACCTATGTTTGCGTTTTATAAACCAGACCAAGTTCAAAGGAGGAAAACGGATTGAATTTTTTTTACAAACTTCTAACTCTTTTTTTTACAATGAAATGAAGTTCATACGTTGTACAAGTTTTTCCTAGAGGGGAAAATGTGGTGTTTGTGTATTTTACACCAGGTATTTGAGGACATACGTTTGAAATTGTTCTATTATCATTTAACGTTGATCGTTTGACCGCTGTAAAATAGACACCTGCCAATCCTGTCCATTAATTTTATCAGCTTTGCGGTGCTAAAGCTAACTCACTCTTCGTAAACTAATGAGAGATTATAGTTGCACAACACTCTATTATTATCATAACTACTTATTATCTTTACTGTTATTTCAACCTTTTTTTATTTCTGTTTTCAGATAGAGTTTAGGGAATATCACAGCAAGAGGAAATTTCTAAAATCAAATAACCGGTTCCCTTCATTCCATGAGGCTCTTTCCTTGATTTTTGAGAAGAAACCAATTGTCGGGTTTCTGCCAATTACATAATCAGACAATCAGCGGTCGAACGAAACATAATTTGAGAATCTAGAAAAAAAGTAAACGCTAAAACAATACTGATTAACATTCATGCGGCGTAGGGAAAGAGTTTAAAAACATTGTAAGAGTTTACCGATTTGAATACCTTGTATTTAATAGTCATCAAGTTTTTTCAAGGGATCAGCTTTTTACACTATTTTTATACCGTATGATCTCTATTTTTGAGGGAGCACTCTAGGTTTTGGAAAATGCCTGAACAAATTAAATGAAAAATCATAGCCCCCACTCACGCGCTCGACAAAAAAAACAGCACTCCCCGCCAAATTTTGTATACCTTCGTCAGTAGTTTCTCGCTTTATCCTCAGTGGTGTCGATTCGGAATGATTGGCCACGCAATAGGGAGGCCAGTCCACACAATGCCACCCACTTGGACAGCAGTACGTGTTCGAAGCCCTAGTACATGTTCACATCATGTTCACGCTATTCCTGACCCAAATAACTGTTTTTTTTTAAGATAAAAAACCGCCAACTTTCATACAAAACATTCAATATTCTTGTCTGTAAAAGTTAAATGGAGAAACTTAGAGATAGATGGCAATTCAAAAAATGATTCCATGCACAAAAAGCTGCAGCTTGCAAAAAACTTTAGATCTTTGAAACTTTTCATTTTGAGAAGTCCGTCTAGCAATATATACAAAATGTGAGGAAAAAAGCGGATCGATGAAATGTGATCATTGGATTTTTAAAAATCACCGAAGTATATTTGCAGTGAGAATTAATGATTAACTTTTAATCTAAAACGATGCCCAAACAGCGGGACAACAACAAGCTGGGCAAGTTTTTTTTCTTCAAAAAACTTTGAGTGGTCGGAACAACAAGCACTAAATTTGAATTTCCCGTCAACCCCCCTGATGTTATCTACTAAATAATCTACACTCCACTAAAAATCTTGAAACGGGGGGGGGGGTTTGTGATTGTTAAGTAGATTCCTAACTAAGTTTTATCTCTAAAATAGATGAGTTAAACGGCGTGAACACCTTTCATGTTTGCAACAAACGGCATTGGGCAGAGCACAGCAGCCGTAACTATTCTTGAACTGAGGAACCTCACAGCAGGTACTTGTATCCTGACACCAATTCTGGTCTGGGCACAAAATAATATTGGGCTGTCGGAACGATTCCACTACAGAGATAATGCAACCTGCAAATACAATAATGACAAAAACAGCCGGTAATAGTGCAGATCTGAAAGTAGGCATGTTGTATGTTAATAAATAGTCAACCTTAGTGACACTCAATTAATTGTATTTACAGCTGAGAGTTACTTCATGAATCAATAATAATGATTGCTATTGTTTGTTCTGGTTGTCAATTCAAAACGTTTCGGATGTTTGTATCAGTTTCAATTCAAACTATTCGTAAGTTTTTCATGAGATCGAATAGAATGAATGACATCTTTTCTCGACACTGGGACAACTTTCTAATGTCGTTCGAATCAGGACTGAAACGGCTTTGATATCATAAAAATCCACTCATAGGGACAATTATTTGTTTATATGTTTTAGTTGAAAATCAAAATAAGCCTGTTCACTCACCTTATTCGTTCGAAATTAGACCAAAATTCAAAAAATTCAAACGGGTTTTTCTTCACACTCAGAGAATTTTTTCAAAGTTTTGAAAAGTCGTTCGAACCACGACTGAAAAGAATTCAGTATGATATACCTCAGGATGAAAACAAAAAAGAAAAGAAGTAAAACACACCCGAATACAAAACTCCTACCTATTTTCAATGGTCAGAACGAAAATATTGGGTAAAACAATCAACAAGTATGTTGGTTAAAATATTGTAGGAAGTATCAAATATATAGCAAAGTAAAAATTTGCCTGGACAGAAGGCTCGTTCCTACTCTCCCCACATTTTAGCATGACCATTATTTAATGAAATTTTTTTTACCTGTTGAACAAATTAACAATTGTGAAAAAATGTTTTTTGATACTTTGCATCATAACTCGACGCATCTAGACTTCATTACACGTAAAGGTAACTATAAAAATAGAAAATTTGTTATGCGAGGAGAAGAAACGGGGAAAAGACCCAAACAAACGAACTGTGTATTTTCTGTACTCTCAAATTTGGTTTAAAAAAGTCCACTCTATTTTGAAAAAGTTGGGCCAAAAATGGATTCCATAAAATTATACCAAATGAAGGCCCTTTGGTTAGTGAGGTGGTCGAATCGCCGAGAAGAAACGGAACGTCCGTCGCCCCACCCCCCTAAATCCGCCCATGAACAAGGCTGCTCGTATATCGCAAAGCCCTGAGTGTTCCCACTGCCCTGTGGATCAGGGGTGGATTTACGTGAGAGGGGCGAGGGAGCGGACGCCCTCTAACCCCCCCCCCCCTCAGGGTCTCGACCGCATCCGACGCAAATGGTCCCCCCTTTGTACTATTTTGAGATATCCATTTTTGGTGACGGACCCTAAACATTTTTCGACAAAATGTACTCATTTTGAGGGGTAGCGCGGGTCAAAAAAGCACAACTTTTTGGCCAAAAAACTTCCAAAAAATGCCTAACAACGCTTGTTTTTGCCAGTTTTTTCAAAAGTTTGACTCAACTGAAAATTTGGCTAAAACAGGGTCCTTTAGTGCTTTAGGAGAACTCGAAAAATCAATTTGGTTGACCAAAAAAAAGAAGAAAAATGTTGCGAATTTTGTTGAAAATCCGCTGCCGCCCCCCTCGAGAAAATCCTATATCCGCCCCTGCTGTGGATGATCCTAAATACTTTGATAAGCTATAAAATATGATCTGTTTCTTTTTCTGTAGTATAGTAGTTAAACGATCAATTAATTCGCCTCGATATAGCTGAGAACGATTTTACTACCGGAACCCGGCATCACAGAGAACTTGTTTTAAAAACAGGAGTAAATTCGTCCAGAATTTTGCCAAATTTACAATTTCTAAACCCACAAAATAAATTTGGTCAAAAAGGTTGCAGGTGAAATATCATTTCATATTTGAAATTTTTCATTGTAATAGTTTTTTTTGCTTGCCAAAAATGTTTTGAAAAAAAGGACTGCATGTTGACGCCAGTTGAAGTTTTGTCTGAAAAAAAACCGTTGCTTAAACTTCTACAGTAACTAAAAGACTGCCGAGATTTGTAACTTTTTGCTTGAGCGAACTAATTTGTTTTCAGCGGATAAAGTTCAGATCATAACAAAAAATGCTATATTTGAGTTCTTGGTAAATTTTAGTTGATTTTATTTGCCCTAAATTGAAGAGCACGAGGTCTTGCCTGTTTGATTAGGGTTATCCCCTAGACTAATTTTGACTCCAATATTGATGAGACAACGTTTAATAAGGCGTCTTCAGCAATTTTTTTCGCATCATTCAGCTAAAAATGGCCCCAAAATAGTAACAATGGACAATTTTTTGAGTGGCGTTGAGGTCGAAAGGTGATTGCAAAACTTTCTCCAAATTTTTGCATTAAGGGCATTGATGTCTTTCAGCTGAAAAAATGAAAAACAAAAAACCAGATTGCGAAGCCCTGAATGTTCCGACTGCCTTTTAAAGTTTATGGAGCAGTAGTAACATAAAAAATAAAAAAGTTAAATGTAATGAAATAAAATGAACTTTTTTTCTAAAATTTTAGGTTTTTTGAAAAAATCATCCCCACGCGCCATATAAAGTACAAAAGGATAGATCTTGCTTCTTGTAACAAATCAGTTATGGCAAATAAGCTTACTTCAAACAATTTGGAACGATTTCTAAGATAGATATTGCTCTAAAATTTTACTTTCCAAGCTGAAACGTTACTTGTCTAAAGTTGGGTACAATGTTCTTTGTGTTCAAAAATCTTGGTTTTGAATTCAAAGTTTCAGCTTTTTTATTTTAAAATTTAAAAGTGATAATCGAAACTTAATTTTGACTGCAATCACTATAATTTAGGTTTCATTGCATAATCTTTATAGACTGAAGCGTTGGCGTTCAAACACACAAACGTATTTGTATGAATGTCTCTTTGAAAATGATGAATTGTTAGAATTAATATTTTCTAATTGTGGCCCCCAGAAAATATACTGTAGAACACCCGTAGTTTTTGTAAAGTTCAATTTTTCAAAATTTTCCTATGCTTTAAGTTTGATCCAGTTCGTTTCTTAATTTTGGAGTGTAATTTATTCACTGGTGGTGGTTTCGATCATGAATTTTAGCTAACCTTTAGAGCAATTGGTTTTAACATAATCTGTGGAAATTCTTTTCTTTGCTTAATGAATTACTAAAACTTCATTTTTTTCGGAGTGAAAAAGTTGAGTGAAAAAGTTTTTTTTCATAGTGTCTGTGGAACTGTCAGAGGATAGTTTTAGTATCTCTAAAGATATAAGTGATCTTCGTAAACTGTGTGTTCAGTTAGGAAGAAAAAAGGTTGGGCATATTACAATAATATTTTGTCTTTTATGCGTTGAACATCATAGTTTTTGGCGACTATTTCAGAAACTTCTCGGAAGATATCACTCATTCTCGTTTATTATATTCCGAACTAACTTGACTTAACTTATGCGATCGACCAAATCGCAGCTAGTTAGAACAAGGGGTCTTTCTGAATGTTGCTAAGACTTTACTATTCTTATTCAACAGACAAAGTTTCTTTCACTCGTAAATAGGTATATTATTTCAAATATAGAGGACACACATCAATTTTATATCAAGAGACATTGGGGTATGGATTGATAGTTATCGAGATAGAGATTTGAGATTTTGGTTATTAGGATGGTTGGGGGTCTCAGTATGAGATTAGTTGTGAGATTTGTGATTTTGAGAAAGTGATGAAGTGATATTTGGTATATTTTCGCTTGGCTTATATACCGTAGATTTTGATATTTTCAACATTCCATCTGTTGGTTAAATCAATCTGAAAGAAACAACACATGCTGTAATGTTTGCTTTTGGTGATATTTTATCAACCGAGCAAACACGAAATTTCAAGTCAAAAGTTTAAGAATTATGTTTCTGATTTCAAGTCAGAACATATGGTAAAAGTTTATAATTGTGTTTCTGATTTCAATTCAGAACATCCAACCATCTTATAGGGTGATTGTTAAACGGTGATACCCGTTAATAAAAAATTTAAAAGCATAATATAATTTACAAAACATCGAAAAAGTTTTAATAAAGTTTGCGTAAAGTTTTTATTCTGATCTTGGTAGTTTGTTCGTAAAGTGGCGGCTTGTAGTGTAGTCGGTTGATGGATGGCTGCTTGTAGTCGGTTGAAGAATGGCCGCTTGTAGTCGGTTGAAGAATGGCTGCTTGTAGTCGGTTGAAGAATGGCTGCTTGTGGTGTATGTGCATGTAGAGTAGAGCAGTGGCGGCGGCCAAATCACAGCTGGATACTTTTGAGAAATATATCAAATACAATTTTTCAAATTTGGTTTAGCGAATATACTTATCAGCAATACTGGACTATAATTGTAGAAGCATACATACTTTGTAAAGTGGCGGCGGCCAAATCACAGTTGGAGAAAAAAAATAAACGGAGGTTAATAGATAGTCTTGAAACTAATAGTTTCCTTCCACCTGGGTTTTTAGGCTCAGATATTTATTGCTGAGATCCTTATTTTTTTCCCGGAGCACTGTTATGGTTTACTGCATTTGGTTGATGCGATTTAAGTCATTTATGTATTTAAGTCATTCTTTTGCACTTGATCCGTGTAGGAGTCAAGGATTGGAGTCTGCATTTGGGCAGTTATTAAGGCTGCAGGAACACAAATGTGTTGATGGGGGATTTGTGCATTAACCAGACGGTATGCACCGTTACCGTTTTGGTAAGGGTGATAGGTGTCTATCTTAAATCGGTTAATAAAGGGAGAGAGCGCATAATTTAGACTGGTGTCAAAATTTGGTGGTTTCCTGGGGCTGAGGTTTTGTTCCTTTTTGACTTGAATCGCGATTTTTGATTCAAGTTCTAGAGAGTTTGCGGATTGGTGAACTATTACAGCTTCAGATTCTAGGTTTCGCCTAGTTGAAGAAGAGGGGAGAATTTTGAAAGGTCGGACAATTGCTTTTCTCTTTTGAATGCAATTAGAATTTTTCACTTTTGGAATTTTAAAATTGGTATTCAATTTTGGTTGATTAATCAGGTTGATTATTTTGGATGGCATTTCCATAGGGTCATTTAGAGACAGAAGGTTTTCGAAATCGAGCAAGTCTTCTTCAAGTGGAGTGTGAGGAAGATCAGTGGGCATATCCTAAAACATAGAATAAATTAGACCGGTACAGCGGGTCGATTATTATAATCGACTAGTTGGAGTCTAGGATAAATTTTACCCTGATTTTCGTTTTCAGAATCCT